GAACACTATAAGGATACATTATATAAGCATGAATTGTAAGAACATCGTTGGAGTCATCAGAGTCACCGCGTGCGCGCTCGATCGTCAGGTTAAGCAACAGTTTAATGCGGGACATGGCCCTTATAGAAATATCATACTAAGAATCATTGATAATTACTTATTATCCAGTATTTTTAATACTGAAAATAAGTAATTATCAATGATTTTTAGTATGATATTTCTATAAGGGCAGTGGTATACTGCTTGGGATCGAAATTATCGCTGGAGGATTTCACGAGAGTTTGGAGTGTATTTGACAACCTTCGATACGTAGTAGTTTATGAAACATGAGAACACTAGGAATATATAAGTATATTTTTTTAAATATTATGATTTTCTCACAGTAATATCATTGTGATTTTCACCATTATATTATTGTGATGCATTTGCCGCGGACATTTTAATATTACTGTGATATCTTAGTAATATTCCAGCATTATTTCTGTTATATTCTCTGGTAATATTGCAATGAAAATATAATATTGCTGTGATATTTCTGCGATATTACGTGCTGTGTGGGTATTATCCAATATTTTTAATACTGAAAATAAATAATTATCAATGATTCTTAGTATGATATTTCTATAAGGGTGATCAGGGATAGGTACCCTACTGAAAAATTTCTATTGAGATAACAATAGAATTCCCAATTTAATTCTCAGTTGAATTCTCAATTGAATTCTCAAATGCCGTTTCCGCAAAAATTCGCATGTAAGATCTCAATTCAAATATTTGTATCTGATGGAAATAATTTATTAAAATATAATGAACTTTTACTAAAATGCTTTTGAAAAGCATTCACAATTTTGATCCAATTTCATCCAACAAACATAGATATATAACAGTTACATTGTCGTAATGAAACGGAATGTAACATGCAATATAACTTGTATATAGTAGGTTATATAGACGTTCGTTATAATTTCCTACTCACATGTGTTACAGTTATATAACGTGAATATAACATAAAAGTAACATGTGACTAAAAAGTTATATAAGAGTTATATGTTATTTGTTAGCACATTATACATGTATTTTTTTGTTGAATTCCAACGATTTATTCATTAGTATGGTTTAGATAAGTGATAATGTATGATTATTTTGTAAATAATAAAAAAAACTGACACACATTTCATATTCCGTATTATTTCAATCATTCGTGAAACTCGCGTAGATTCGATCCTATTGTCAGGCGGCATCCATTTTTAGATCATGTTGTTTAATGCTTAACTTCAACGATCGTCCGGGAACTGGTGATACCTATGCGCCGTAACGATATCTTGATAGATAATATTTACAATATATTCTTATATCGTTCATAAAATGTTATGACATATTTGTTGGTAAATGTTTGACACGACAATCACAATGCGATTAATATTGATACAATGTTGTATCAGTAATCAAATTTTAACCTACAACGTGCTCGCAAAAGAGAAAGAATATTCCTTCTTTCTCTCTCACAATACTTTGACAGAGTAAGGTTATGATTAGACTCTTTTTATAAAAACTCTACAATATCGTGATAACAATCCTTGCATATATTAAAATATCACATTTTATATACGAGAAATACCTAAAATATAATTTCATATTTCCCTTATAGAAATATCATACTAAGAATCATTGATAATTACTTATTTTCAGTATTAAAAATACTGGATAATAAGTAATTATCAATGATTCTTAGTATGATATTTCTATAAGAGTGTGTATAAAAATATTGCACAACTGAAATGTAATGCAAACATTAGACTTCTTATATAACATGTTATATTAAAGTTTATTGCTGTTATATTGTTGATGCAACTTAACCAGTAAATAACATAATAACAGTCTTATAACATAATTATATCGCAGTCCCTTATATTTTTAATACTGAAAATAAGTAATTATCAATGATTCTTAGTATGATATTTCTATAAGGGGTTATAAAGGAAATTAAGTAACCTCAATATTAATAACGTATAACGTAACCTCAATATTAATAACGTATAACAGCAATTATATTACATGTTATTCCTATGTTATATCACAGTTATGTTCTGTGTTTGCTGGGCATTACAATTTCATTATAATTTCATTAATATTTCAATAATATTTTATTAAAAACGTGCTCGCAAAAGAGAGAGAATATTCCTTCTTTCTCTCTTTTTTGCGAGCACGTTGTGTTTAAATTTAATTAGTTATAAATATTGTATCAATATTAATCGCATTGTGATTGTTGTTACATCCTTTGAAACATTTACTGACAAATATTGTCATTACATTTTTAAACGCTATAGTATAGTAGTAACGCTAAGAGTATATTGTAAATACAATCCACCACGATATCGTTACAGCGCATCGCCATTACCAATTCCCGTACGATTGTTGAAGTTAGGCATTGAATAGCGCATAGTTATCTAAAAATAGATGCCGTGTGACACGGGATCAAATCCACGCGAATCTTACGAATAAATAAACGACATAAGATATGAAATTATAGTTTTTTTATTATTTAGACAAAATAATACTTTATTATACTTTTCTCAATCTATTTTAATTAATAATGAATTTTCACTGAATTTTTCTACATTTTTAATGAAATATTATTGAAATATTAATGAAATTATAATAAACTTTTAATGAAATTATAATGTAATATTAATGAAATTATAATGAAATTTTAATAAAATTGAGTCAAAATTGTGAATGCTTTTCAAAAGCATTTCAGCAAAAGTTCATTATATTTTCAATAAATTATTTCCATCAGATACAAATATTTCAATTGAGATCTTACATGCGAATTTTTGCGGAAACGGCATTTGAGAATTCAACTGAGAATTGAATTGGGAATTCTATTGTTATCTCAACAAATTTTCTATTGTTATCTCAACAATTTTTCAGTAGGGTAATATGTAAGAAAGGTATTATGCATAATTCTGCGTATAATATGTATAAAATACCTATTATACGCAGAAAACGCGCAGAATATGCAGAAAACATGCAGAAAATGCAGAAAACCCCTGAAGAGTGTCCCGCGTAAGACGTACGAAAAGAAAAATATAAGTAAAACAGATAAAAGTGAACAAAAATTATATAGGCCATTTTTCAAACGACCACGTAAAATTTCGAGATATTAATTAAAATAATTGGGCGTATCAGAGCGCGGCGACACGGCATGTGGGACGTACGGGTCGCTGCGGCCGGCGAAGAAAATGGACGATTGCTCGCGGGCCTATCTTATAGGCCAGAGAGGTGGGCCATTTGGCATGCTGAAATGAATAGCTCTGTGTGTGCGTCCATGTACTTGTGCGTTCTTCCATTTTCTTCGCCGGCCACGTCGTCGTGCTCTGATATGCCCAACTATTTTAATTAATATCTCGAAATTTTACGTGGTTGTTGAAAAATGACCTATACAATTTTTGTTCACTCTTATATGTTCTACTTATATTTTTCTTTTCGTACGTCTTATGGCTCCTGCACACAGGACACGGTAATATTTGCCGCGCGGCGGAAGTTCGCACGACAGCCAATCAATATGTTGCTTTCCATAATAACCTTCTAGCTCTTACGGAAAAACAGCATATTGATTGGCTGTCACGCGGACTTCCACCACGCGGCAAGCATTACCGCGTCCTGTGTGCAGGAGCCATTACGCGGGACACTTTGTATTAAGATTGTATTGAGTTCATCCTGAGATGCCTTGTAGCCAATAAACTGATACGTATAGTATTTCAAGATAAGCTTAGGGCGATCTTATAGCGAATTCGGTAGCTTGCGCACTAGTGCGCACTGAGTGCGCGCTAATGGGTGCGTTCAGCAGATCCCAACAGTTGCAAAGCGGTTGAGCGAATGATACGTAGCGCTTAGTGATGAAAATCGTGTCTGCTGAACGGGCTGAACACGGTTTATCTCACATCTCGTCACGTGACTGCAACTTATTTGGAATATGACAGAGGTTAGATTCGATTGGTACAGCTGATAGACTTTCGAGGAAAGAGGATACGGAAAAAGCCGGTATTTCGGAAGTTATTCAAGTTAAGCAGCTAGAGATACAAGATTTCTATATGCTCGTTACATCGCTGGCCCTCTTTTCTATTATATTGGCATATTTTTACTTGTGTGACAGGTAATTGCTAGATGCAAGATTTACATATCACAATTTACGTATCACAATTTCTTAAGCTCATTTTAAAAAATATACTATAATACACGATTTTAATAGTGTTTACTTCTTTCTTCTCTCATGTGCGCTGCCATCTTGTTTCGCAACATGTTGCGCGTAGGTAGCGGAGAAAAAGTTTAATGGGAAAAATGGCGTCCGCTCCCGGAACATGTTGAGTAGCGGTAACTGAGCGAAGTGCGTTCAGCAGACATCTACACAACAGTTGTACAACAGTTGCGTCTGCTGAACGCGCCCAATGGCTCTTGCACACAGAACGCGGTAATGCTTGCCGCGCGACGAAAGTCCACACGACAGCCAATCAATATGTTGTTTTTCCGTAAGAGCTAGAAGGTCATTACGGAAAGCAGCATATTGATTGGCTGTCGCGCGAACTTCCGCTGCGCGGTAAGCATTACCGCGTCCTGTGTGCAGGAGCCATAAGGCTTGTTTACAGTACATTCTTATATTTAAGATTGTGTCTTAAATACATATTTAAAAACATTTTAGCTAATAAAGTGATTCGTACGGATATTGTACATATTATATTATTGGTTAAAAATATTTGAGAATTTATTTAAAGCAATTTTTAAATATAATAACATACTATGAACAAGCCTTAGTGCGTATTGAATGCGCACTAGTGCAAGCAACCGAATTCGCTATTAAGGCTGCGTTCCGAACAGGCTGCACTGCCAGTACTGAAAATCTATAGTTTATGTTACGTATATTATAGGATTTCAGTACTGGCAGTGAATTTCGGAACGTAGCCAAATTTAAAATCCAACTACACCGACCCTAGTGACTCCAATAGTTCCGTGATCGTCACGCCACACCTCCTGCACCGGCGCGTAGTCTGCGCGCACGTCGTACGAGCGTTTGCACGACGCGGCCGCGCTGTCGAGAGGCGAGCGAAAACGTCGGCGGAGGATTCCGCGGGATCGACATCCGTAAAAGCGTAAGGAGTGCAGGAGGCCTCGTGGATACGCGCCGTCGACGACGGACAACGACGACGGCCCACCTATTATCACGAGTTACGCAACGAGTAATGTCTATTAGCGTTACGTTACGTCGAGGTGTAGGTGCAGATTCGGGCCGATGACGATGCACCGCGTTTGCGAGACGCGACAACGTTCATGAGACATTCTCGCACGCCCTCGTAACGCAAACGTGTATTCGCAGGCACATTTCGTTCTTATGTCGGATCGTGGATCCCCGAAGTCATCCCGGTAACAAATGGTGTTGGTCATTTGGATTGCGAGAAGTTAGCTGCAAGTGGAGGCGCCTTTCGAGGTTCCGTTATTCAAAGTGACCACCTTGAACGCTCGTGTCGTTCCCTCGACGAGAGAATAAGAAATTACACAAAATCCGCAACGAGAGTGAGCAACGATCTCGCTTCGCCACTTTAGACGACGCACGCCGGATGAACCGTTACATACGTAACAGACCTCGAAGCTGTAACACGCACACCTCGGTGCAAGAATACACACATATATACACACACAGACACAGCAGCACTCACGCCATTTTCGATCGCTTGCCGAGTGGTGTGAAGTAGACAGCGAGACGACGCTGTGGTAGTGCGTATCGAGTGCGTTACCCGCCGCCCCCGCACCCCGCCAGCTAGTCCACGGCTATCGCCGTGAAGTGTGCATTTAGTGACTGAGAGCTGTGTGTACATATAAATGGCGACCGACGAAAAATGGTACTTCACGAAGGAACAGCTCGCAAATACGCCAAGTCGAAGATGCGGCATCGATGCAGACAAGGAGCTGAGCTACCGCCAGCAGGCGGCCAATTTCATTCAGGACATGGGACAACGGCTCATGGTGTATCCTTTCTTGCAAACGCAAGTTGCATGTAGCACACGCTTGCGAACGGAATCGTGTTCCTTCTTTCTGCGCGATGTCTCTTGCTATCCTCTCCCTACACCGCGCGCGCGCTCCGTTGCTTTTCCTGTTCGCTGAATCGGAGCACCACGAGTATAATCTGATGATGGTATCCCACGGCGATACCACGTAGCGAACGCTACTCCCCGTTCCACGTGCCTATTCGCAAGACTCGTCCTAACGGAGCCCGACCAGTGTGGTCTTTATCCCGCATGGCGTAAACATGGATGACGTGCGAGAACGCGGGACACACCATATTGGAGTCTCGTGCGTTATAGATATCATAAACGGTCATTCTCGTTGAATTCCTTGCGACGTACGCTGCGTGAAAGGACTGCTTTGTGGAAAATCTGGCGTTTTTTTTCTTCGCGCTAATGGCGCGTTCTTGGGCGTGTGCGTACGTCGTTTCCAGTGGAGATCAGAGAATAAGGTCATTTGCAGAAAGAGGGAGAGAAAGGCTAAGCATTGTTTGCCAAGCCTAGCTTTTAGTATAGAGATCTGTAATAACTACAGATTTCTTGTACATTCTTTTGGTATTCTCCTTACTTAAGCATTGTTTGTTTCTGTTTCATGTATCGCAGTGATGGAGCGAGTGAAAAATCTCAGTTTCATCTTCTTAGGTGTTTCCTAGGTGCTCTGTTAGATTTGCATTCTAGGTTTCTGTTCTAGCTTCTAAAAACATCGAAGATTCTTAAGTTTCAATGAGGAGCTGTCTTGCAGTTTATTCTGTGAATCTATGAGGATATATTCCTCAATATCAATGAAGCAATGTTCATGATGCTTGTTCGTGCATGGTTGAAGAATCTTTGTAACTTAGAGGCAACAGTGGCACTCATAATTGAGTCTATTGTCTTATCATTCAGTTGTTTTTGTTATAATCAAAGAAATTATTATGATATATTAATGTTTCTGTTATATTTTTTTCCTGATATATAAATAAGCTTCACTAAGCTTTAGAGAACTGACTAATAATTAATAGTTACACATCTGTTACAAGTGTTGTTCTTGTAACATTAAAATTTGGTTATTGATAGGGATGGACAAGAAGAATCAACGATTCAATTCGTCATATCAACTTTCTCACATTAATGTAAAATCTGAGAATAAAATAAATTATTTTATATATAAACTATTGTACTTTCTATTTTCTGATCTTACCATTTAATCTGTATAAAAAACTTAAATTATATAAAATTTTTAATAGCTCATACTAACTCTTACTGCACATTTCTTTTATCATTATTCTCTTCACCTCTGTTATTTGAAGATGAAAATCATAAAAACAAAATTTTCCCTATTCTATATGTTTCTATTTATTAATGAGTTGGAAACATAAACGGGAGAAAGACGTTCTTCTTTACTGTACCTCTCTGTGTGTGAATTTTACTAGAAAGAACATTTTTGTGAATAGAAAATTTGCAAGAAACTTCATGATCGTTTATGATATCTAACAATACAGACTTCAAATACCTTCCCACCAGGATATTTTGATTATTATATAAAAGGAGATGTAAATGTTACAAAAAATATTCGTTATTTGATTAATATGATTAGTGATATATAGATAATTTGTGTAAAATCTTTTACAGATTTTGCACAGATGCAAAATCCTTTCACATATCTATTTTTTCTCTGCTTTAATTCTTTACAAGTTGCCATTTACATCTGAAAATAATATATATATTTTATGATAATATTTCCTTGAATAATTTATATGTAGTATATATATATTTTTGTTATAATAATATTTTTTTGAATATTTTTCCTTAACAATAATAAATATCAGATCTCAATTATGCATCAACACAGCCATAGTATACATGCACAGGTTTTATGTGTTCCACTCGTTGACGCAGTTCCACAGAAATGCTATTGCAGTAGCTGCACTCTTTTTAGCAGCAAAGGTAGAGGAGCAACCAAGGAAATTAGAACATGTTATCAAAATGGCTTATATGTGTCTTCACAGAGAACAAGGTCCTGACGGCAGGTCTGAGGCAGGTTTACATACTGTAATATCTTCTTTATAAATATATGCTCTAAACTGTAGACTGTTTTTAGCTTCATTTAACTACATTTTGTTTTATCATTGCAGCAATTTCTTGAACAAGCTCAAGACTTAGTGTTCAACGAAAATGTCCTTCTACAAACGTTAGGTTTTGATGTTGCCATTGATCATCCCCATACACATGTTGTTAGATGTTGTCAACTAGTAAAAGGTACAGTTGACACTTGCATACATTATGAGGCACATTTCTTTCGAATCCTTTACAATTGGCTACAGTAAACTTTCACCTTTTTAGCGAGCAAGGATTTGGCACAGACATCATATTTCATGGCGTCTAACAGGTATTTTATGTTATTTATTATCTAAGCCGTCTATTTTGAAAGTGATATAAACTCACTTTTGTATTTTGAAATATTCAATTGGATATATTTCAATTTACTAATAGTATTATTTAGTAAGTAAATAATAAATAACTTCATATTGTTTGCATAATCAAAGTTTAATTTACCAAATATTACTTTACACAAAATTAACAGACTAAAATACCAAAGAGTTCTAACTGTACCTGAACTCACATCATATTCATATCAAACTCTGTTATAAAAATTTCTTTATATTTTAATTCTGTTTAAGTAAGAATGTTTACAATGATACAAATTTTTAAAATAATAGAATATGATAAATAATAGATAATGTCGATAATTATTTACTTGAAGTTTTAAATATATAACTATAGTTTTTCTTATATATTTTTTATCATTAATATATTAAGGAATAATTTATTCATATATATGCTTAATTCATATATATGCTGTTCTATTAAACAAGTTTTTTAAAATAATCTTGAGCAATCTATAGGCAATAAATACATGTAATTATAACATTGTGTGTTGTATAACTCCGAAGTATTTAAATATATTGTTTAAATTACGGGATTTTATATATTTTCAAAACAAGTAGATTTTTAATTTCTTTTACAATTTCTGTTATAATTAAATCTTCTATTATATATGACATAAATATTATTCTCTGATTGATTACCAGTTTTTAAGAGATAACAAGTACATATTTACTTGTAAGCATAATAATTTAAATTTTAAATTATTAATTAAATTTTTAAATTATCAATTTTTTGTTGAAATTGGACATGCTACACTTTCAAAATAAGCGGTTTATTTCTATCATTTGAAGACTATGTAATCAGAATTCAAAATTAATTGTCAGATCCATCTATAAAGATATCAGAGTTGGATAATATCTAGATAACCAAAGTTAAGTTAATAAGCTAGTACATTTCAACTTAAATAGTTTTAAATGAGTTAAATGATGTATTTTAACGACATCATTAATATGTCTTTAATATGTCATTTGACATCATTAATACATCATCATATTTGCTAACATAATTTCATATTTGCTTAAAAATAAAATAAAAAACATAAAACGCAATAACAAAAGAATTCTTTGTTCATCTTTCTAAACATCAGTATTTTTTTTTTACATAGAATCCTGAACATATAAAACAGTCGGTTTCATATAAAAGACTACCATTTCATTTCTTGTTGCACATCAGTATAGAATCTACGATTAAAAATTATGTGAAGGAACATATTAAGGAAGTTATTTATGTGAAGGAACATACATATTACTTTGTATAATTAATTTTTAATTTTAATAAATTGATATAACTTTAACTGAACTTTTAATTAAGTTAGTTTTTGTAATTTTAACTTAACTAAGTTCATTTTATAAGTTATTTACATTAATTTTATAAGTTATTAACTTAATTCTAAAAAAATTGACTTACCCAACTCTCTTTTTGAAGGATATAATAATAAAATTTTACAATATGTACGATAAATGAAATATTTATATTATATAAATTATAAATCTCAAAATTATAATATAGTTATAATAGATTCATAAAATTATACTATAATATAGTATATGTACAATCATTCCGAATTTGCAAATTTATCTTACTATTTATATACACGTAACTGATACACATAACTAAGATGCTGATACACTTTTTATTTTATGTATTGCACATTTTTATAATTATCAAATAATTCATAAATTATTTACAGACTATATAAATCTTTGTACTCATATTGAAATGATATTTTTTCAGTTTACATCTGACAACGATGTGTTTGCAATATAAACCTACAGTTGTCGCCTGCTTTTGCATACACCTTGCCTGCAAATGGTCTAATTGGGAGGTAAGTAAAACATTCTATGATTTATATAGTTGCGAGAAAAAAATCTGTAATATTCACAAAAATTAAGTTTCAAATATTTCTAAGAAATGAAATAAGTAAATCTGTTTATTAAGAAAATATGTTTATTTTCCAACGAGTTTGTATTTGAAACCATCGTGATGAGTAGTTCAATTTCAACCTTAAATTTTTTCATTCAGATGTCATGGGATGCCATTGTATGTTGAGAAAATTTGTAAAAGTTTAAATATTAAGAGTTAAAGAAGAAGTTTAAATATTAAGAATTAAAAAGAAGGTACATAAAACAGTAACAAACGATGTATTACATATAGAAAGATGTAAGAGGAAATTAAAATAATATATAATAGAGCATTGAGGAAACCACATGTGTTAAACTTTTTAAAGAAAAATAATTATTTTTCAGTATAATTTTCTTCATTGACAGTTTTCCTCTTTACTAGTCTTTCAATATCAAAATATGTTTCTACTGGTACTGATTTTGAGTTTATTTGTAATTTACTGACTTTTTCCCGCATAATTTATAATTACGTATATATATTCCAGATCACCGTTCTCAAACTTCACGAGAGCGTAGAACGGATTGAGGTGAACAAAAAATTTCATATTGTTTTGCGATATTTACAATAACTTTTGGGATATTAATTTATAAAGGAAATTGGATGAAAAAGAGAGGAGCGATCGAGTCGTTGGTCTAAACTTTAACCTAGAAGTAGATGACGGTGAAACATAAGAGCAGCTCTCGTCCTTCCTTTTGTTATACGCCGCCAACCGCTTCTTGGCTAACCGGACTACACTAGAGTTCGAGCGGTTTGAGCGTTCTTCTTCTTTTCATCCAAATATTTAAAATTTAATATCTCGAAAGCTATTGCGAATATTGCAGAACGATGTGGACTTTCTCGGTCACATCAATTCGTTCTACGCTCTCGCAAAGTTTGAAAACGATGATCATCATTACCTAAATCATATTCTGTTCAGACGATTCTACACTGTTTAAGCTCCGATTAGAAGTGTAAACATAAACATAAGATTCTCTAGAAATTATCTTCTTACAATGTTAACATATCTATTAATATCTATTAGCATTAATTCTCTCTCTTATCAGTTAACTCATATAAATATTTTTTAAAAATCTTTAGGTAATGATTGTTGTCTTGAGAGATAGCAATATTTTAATTCTAATATATTTATATTTCTAGTTTTTTTGAGCTTAAACAATGTGTATATATACATTATTATCCTTTATAATATTATATAATAAAAATATCATATAATCTTATTTAAAAACACATCTTGATCTTTTAAAGCAAACAAGTATTACAATAACAAATATTTGCTGCAATATATATGTTGTTTATTTAAGATTATACATATATATATATATATATATATATATATATATATATATAT